GCAAAGAGTTGGTTATTATGTTGTTTAATGCGATAAAATGGGGTTGTCTCATCTATATGATGCGACAAAAAAGGTTTGATACAATAAAATGTTATTTACATGTTATCATTTCAAATGTTGACTTTCCAAAAATGTTTTGGTGATTTTCACCATGTAATAGCAACTAAAGGAATTACTCAGTAGACCTAATGGTCCAACCTTCATTTTGTTTTAAAAAATGTGTATTACAAGTCGGGCACATACGAAAGGTAAAGGAAATGAATAGATATGAAGAAAAATGTTAATCCTTTACATCTGTGGATTTTTGGAAAGTTGAATATGTGCATGTACTTGAGAATGTGTTTTATACAAGTCATATACTTTATGTGAGCAAAAATTTTGTAGTTACTTTTGTATGTAGCAATTTGTATATTTTGGAACCAGTGTGTAATATTTATATTTCATGTTACAGGAAATTTGTGAATTTTAGACAAATGGGAGTTGGGGTGTCACAGTTTTGTTTCGTCATGTGTTGCGTTGCCATCACTACTAGAAAACTAGGTATCTTTGACAGAAGTTTTTGATGAAAATTGAAGTCGAAATTTTTCGATGGATTCTTGACAGATTTTGAACGGAAAATGTTTCGTCATTGTTTCATCGAAGATTTTAGACAAACATTTCGACGGATTTTCTGTCGAAAATATTCCATCTAAAACATATCGATAGATTCCGTTGATAATCCATCCAACATTATTCAAATAATTAATTATTATTCTTTTAAATTCGTCAAAACATATTCAAATTGTGAATATTCTTTTAGAATAAATTATGGATTTGATTCCGGTGGTTTAGTGGTTTTTAAGGAAATGGTCCTTGAACTTCATTTATTACAGATTAAGACTTATCGTATGTCATTTTATAACGAATTGGTTCCTCAGTCTAACGGCCATCCAAAGCACCGTTAGAATTATGAGCAGTTCCGTCATTTTACAATTTTCATCTTTTTAACATTAATTTATTTTTGTTTTGACTTTTTTGTTTTTGTCTTTTCCTTATTTTTGTAAAACCCCCTAAATTATAAGGACTAAATACCTCTAATATATATATATATATATATATATAT